CCCCCCCCCCCCTTCCCCCCGTTGAAATGTCCGATGCATTTGCGATTGTGAAGATGTCATGTAGTCACCAGACCACTGGTCTTTCACATTTCTGTTTGTTTCTGCGACTGTGCCGGGACTGTCTGCCACGCGAGAGTGACTTCGTTGACTCTGACTCTGATGGTACTTGACGGTGTTTTACAGCCCCATCGAGACAATCTAGGTCAGTCTTTGCCGACTTGGGTCCGGCTTTGTGGCGATGCTGGGTTCCTCTCTCAGCCTCGGTTGTGCCTGACACGTCATCAGAGCAATGCTCCTCATACTTTACTTACTTTTCTGATTCAGCGGTCATCTGAATTCTAGCCCTTCGGCCTGTCGACATGGCAAAGAATTTACACATTTTTATCAGCTGTATTTTTTGGTTTAATGCATGCAGAATATTTCCGATATAATATATCTGAGGAGGCAGGTTGGTAGGTACTCCGCTGGTCGCTAAGTGCAGGGCAGGTAAAGAGTTGGTGTGACAGTGATACTGTGTGCACCTCTGAAATGATCTAAATTGTGTCGATGGAGGCTTGAAACATCCAGGTTTTTACAGTAACCGTTTTCCAAGATGTTTTCGCGCTATTTGTCAAACAGTGCAGCCTCTCTATGACCACATCGTCGGGACCAGAAGAAATGTCTTTAACCAAAACTTATTGATATAAGAAAAAAATGGGGACCTGGGCACCATGTCGCTATATACAAAGGATGTGGTTATATCGACGGTCGTTCTAGAGAGGATGCCGTTATATCGACGGTCGTTATAGAGAGGATGTCGTTGTATCAAAGGTCGTTATAGAGAGGATGTCGTTATATCAAAGGTCGTTATAGAGAGGATGTCGTTATATCGAAGGTCGTTATAGAGAGGATGTCGTTATATCGAAGGTCGTTATAGAGAGGATGTCGTTATATCGAAGGTCGTTATAGAGAGGATGTGGTTATATCGAAGGTCGTTATAGAGAGGATGTCGTTATATCAAGGGTCGTTATAGAGAGGATGTGGTTATATCGAAGGTCGTTATAGAGAGGATGTGGTTATATCAAAGGTCGTTATAGAGAGGATGTGGTTATATCGAGGGTCGTTCTAGAGAGGTTGCACTGTATAATTAGTATTGTCAGTGAGCGAGAGGTTGCACTGTATAATTAGTATTGTCAGTGAGAGGTTGCACTGTATAATTAGTATTGTCAGTGAGAGGTTGCACTGTATAATTAGTATTGTCAGTGAGAGGTTGCACTG